GAAAAGGAACCAAAATTTTGGGGAGAGGGAAACTGATGGTTGAACTGGAATTGGGGAGGAGTAAATCGGTGGGAATAAAATAGGGGGGAGGGGAGTAAAATGAGGGACCTAAAAGTGAGGGGGGGAACTGAAATTGGGGGATGTGGGGGTGGGGAGAAGGGTTTGGGTATTGCACCTTTGGGGTGGGGAGCGGATTTGGGGATGGAGCCCGAGGGTGTGGTGGGGGAGGGGCGCTGGCATTCTGAGGGGGTTCCTGGGGTGTCCCCCGGGCGGGACTGGCAGCCCTGGAYTCCCACAGAGGCTTTGGGAGATTCTGGGGTGCCCCTGAGATTTGGGGGATCCAGATCCCACTGTGGGAGTTTAGGGTAAACTCCCCCCGTTTGTGGTTACCCCAGGCCCCGCCGCAGAGTCAGATGGCCCCTCCCCCAGTGACACCCCAAGGCTGAGGGACCCCAGTAGTGGCATTTTGGGTGGCATCACCCCACGTTTTGGGGGGAGTCCCCAGTTTGGTACCACTCCCCCCGTTTGGTTTCCCAGGGATATTGGGGTGCCCCCAGCACCCATTTTGGGGGGGCTTGCCCCCCACCCCCCAGGTTTGGGGACATCAGGTTTATGGGGCCCCGAGTTTGTTTGTTCTCCTCTTTTCCCCAGTGCCATACTGGGGCCCCACCCCCACCCCCCAGAGCTTCTATTTTTGACACTGGAACCGCCCCCCGAAATGGGGGCGCGGCCCCTTTAAGAGCCCTGCCCTCACCCCCGTAGAGATTTAAGCGACCCCTTTAAGGCGGATCGGGGGCGTGGCTCCCTTTTAAGCCCCGCCCTGTTAATCAGGCCACGCCTACGTGCTAATCCCACCCGCTTTGCGTTTCTCAGGCCACGCCCCCTCTTTATGAGGGGGCGTGGTCTGAGCCGCTTATGCCACGCCCACCCCTGCGCTGCCTTCAGGGAAATTCGCGCTGAAGCCATAGCCCCGCCCCTCCCCTTGGCCCCGCCCCCCTCGGCAGAATTAAAGAGACCGCGAGGAATTATTTTTGTTAAAGTAATAAAAGTTTTAAGGAGAAAAATAAAACRTTTTGTGGTCCTTGAGAAAGGGATTGGGGGGGAACCCAGGCATCCGAAGGGACCTTCCCAGACKCCTGAAYCCCCCCCAAATTTGAGGGAGGGTCYCACCCTCACCTCCCCCCCCCAAACACCTTCTCCAGCAGCCGCCGAGGGGGCGCGGCCGGGGGGGGCTGAGCTTTGCGCTTCCAAATCTCCTCCTCCGTCGGTCTTTGGGTGAAGCCCCAGGTCGGGAGAGGGGCGTCGGGGTCTCTGGAGGTTTTGGGGGGGTCTTTGTCGGCTTTGGAGACGCGGCGGGCGTAGAACCCCCCCTCGCGCTTGGCCTGGGCCACCTCGGCCCGCAGGCGCTGGGCCCGGACCTGCCGCTCGTAGCTGAGCCGCTCGCTCAGGTGGGGCCACCGGAACCCGGGCAGGTACTGGGGGGAGAGGRGAGGGGTCAGGGGACCCCCAAACAGCCTCACACAACCCCTCCCATAACGTTTTGGGGTGCTCAAACCTCCCCTCACCTGTTGATCCAGGTGTGCAGGAAGGGTCCCCCAGCATAGCTCAGCCCCACCCCTCTGTGCCCTGAAGGGGACCCCAGTGTCACAAACCCCCTGGAACCCTAAACCCAGGAACCCCCAACGGGTTACAACCATCCAGGACCCCCCCAGAAGGGACCCCCAGCACCCACCCCCCAACAGGGACTCAGGGCTACCCCAACCCCCCACCCATAAAGGATCCCAGCTTTCCAGGAACCCACAGGTGTCCCCCCCTAGGGCATCCAAGGGTCTGGAACCCCATAAAGAGGGACTCAAGGCACTCCCAACCCCCCTAAAATGGTTCTGAATAATCCAGGAGCCTCTCAGGTCCCCCCCCGAAGGGACCACAGTACCCAGACCCCTCCCCAGAACCCCCCTGAGCCCCCCAGCGCCCCTCACCTTGATGCTCCAGCAGTGATGGCGGAAGGGGCTGCGGGGCCGGGGGGCCATGGGGGCCCCGTGCAGGATTTTGGCCGCGCGTTTGGCCGCCCGCTTGTCCCGGAATTCCACCCAGCCCTCGGCGAAGGCCACGGCCGGGGGCCCTCCCGGGCGCTGCCGCCGCCGCCGCACGGACCCTCCTGCGGGAGCGGGGATGGGGGCGGTGAGAAACGGGGGCTGAGACCCCCACCCAGGGGTGCTGAACCCCCCCTCAGTTCTGTACCTGCTCTATGGGGACACCCTGATCGCCCCCAGCCCCCCTCCAGAACCCCGTGGCCCCCTCAATGGGTACCTGAACCGCCCCTCCCCCCCGATATCACCCCCACCAGGGTGTCCTGACCCCCCCCATCCATTCCTGGTCTTAGAGGGGCTCTGTGGGACACCCTGATCACCCCAGGGACCCCTTGACACCCCGCTGCTGGGAAGACACTCCCCAACTGCCCCAAAAACCCCTGATCCACCCTCCAGGACCCCCGGACTCACCGCGGGGCTGAAAGAAGACCCTCCCCAGCTCCCCGTGCGGCCGCAGCAGCGCCCGGGCCTGGCGGGGGCCGAAGCCCGGGGGGAGGAAGGACAAATACAGGACCCCCGGTACCACAGGCTTTGGGGGGGGGTCGGAGGGGGTCTCGGCTGCGGGGGAGGCGGGAGCGCAGCCCTCGGGACCCTCCTCNGAGGACCCAAGCCCCCCCCAATCCCTCTAAAATGGTTCATAATCATCCAACCGCTGAGGTCCCCATCACAAGGGCCACAGTTACCCAAACCCCTCCCCAGAACCCCCCTGAGACCCCCAGCGCCCCTCACTTTGATGCTCCAGCAGTGATGGCGGAAGGGGCTGCGCGGCCGGGGGGCCATGGGGGCCCCGTGCAGGATTTTGGCCGCGCGTTTGGCCGCCCGCTTGTCCCGGAATTCCACCCAGCCCTCGGCGAAGGCCACGGCCGGGGGCCCTCCCGGGCGCTGCCGCCGCCGCCGCACGGACCCTCCTGCGGGAGCGGGGATGGGGGCGGTGAGAAACGGGGGCTGAGACCCCCACCCAGGGGTGCTGAACCCCCCCTCAGTTCTGTACCTGCTCTATGGGGACACCCTGATCGCCCCCAGCCCCCCTCCAGAACCCCGTGGCCCCCTCAATGGGTACCTGAACCGCCCCTCCCCCCCGATATCACCCCCACCAGGGTGTCCTGACCCCCCCCATCCATTCCTGGTCTTAGAGGGGCTCTGTGGGACACCCTGATCACCCCAGGGACCCCTTGACACCCCGCTGCTGGGAAGACACTCCCCAACTGCCCCAAAAACCCCTGATCCACCCTCCAGGACCCCCGGACTCACCGCGGGGCTGAAAGAAGACCCTCCCCAGCTCCCCGTGCGGCCGCAGCAGCGCCCGGGCCTGGCGGGGGCCGAAGCCCGGGGGGAGGAAGGACAAATACAGGACCCCCGGTACCACAGGCTTTGGGGGGGGGTCGGAGGGGGTCTCGGCTGCGGGGGAGGCGGGAGCGCAGCCCTCGGGACCCTCCTCCTCTTCCTTCTCCTCTTCTTCCTCCTCTTCCTCCTCTGCCTCCTCCTCCTCTTCTTCTTCTTCTTCCTCTTCTTCATCCCCCTCCTGTTCTTCCTCCTCCTCCTCCTCCTCCTTGCCCTTCCTGTGCGGGTCCCGCTCGGCCCCGGCCATGGCCCCTGCGAAGGGAAGGAGTGAGTTACAGTGGRGCGACCGCTCCCAGGGCCCCCCAACCCTTTCCAGGGTCTGTCGCACCCCCGACTTCACCCGGGGACCCCCAAAGGGTCCCTCCCGAGCCCCCCGAACYCCCCCGTGCCCGTACTTTGACAACGCCACCGGCGGCTGTTGTAAAACACCAGCGGAACCGTAAAGCACCGCCGGGAGGCGAGGGGATTTTCCCGAAAAAGCCGTAAAGCGCTCTAGAGGCGGGGCCTAGCCTACAGGGGCGGTGCTATGATGAGGGGGCGTGGTTAGCGCGCATCTGGGCGGRGTTACATGCGGAGGGGGCGTGGTTGCTGCTGGGGGCGGGGCCTCGCGGCGGCGGGAAGCGCGCGCCGCGGTTTGGGCGGGAGCAGCTGAGGCGGTGTTTCGGCGGGAACGGTCCCGTCCCTTCTGGGACCCGTCGAACTCCCCCAGTGTCACCCCCCAGCACCCTCCGGGGTTCCCTGACCCCCCCAGAACCCACTGACCCCTCCCCGGGATCCATCAAAGCCCCCCGGGCCCACTGACCCCCTCCCGAGGC